AGTTAAGTTGGTTTAAGAGGAAAGGCTTAATTGCTTTGATCCCAGAGTTCAAGGGCTTACATGCATCAATTAAAGTTTAGGGGTTTAATAGCCATTTTGGGGTTAATTCAGGAGCTTAACTTATGGTTTTGCCGTTAAATTGAGGGCTTAATTGCTTTGACCCCAGAGTTCAAGGGCTTATATGCATCAATTAAAGTTTAAGGGCTTAATAGCCATTCTGGGGTTAGTTCAGGGGCTTAACTTATGGTTTTGCCGTTAAATTGGCGTAAAAAGAAGGGCTTAATTGTTTTGATCTCAGAGTTCAAGGGTTTATATGCATCAATTAAACTCTAGGGGCTTAATAGCGATTCTAGGATTAGTTCAGGGGCTTAACTTATGGTTTTACCTTTTACTTTTTATGGAGTCTTTCAAAGTTCCTTCCTCTGTAAGGCTTCTCAATAAAAAGAACGTCAGGTGATTGTGCAATTCCAAAAAGAAGTGACGGAACCGGCTATTCTAAGTTTCCGATAACTCACCTAAAGCGATGGTGACGTGGAAAAGCCATTAAGCATTCCTCATTTGAACAGTAGGTAGAGCTAGTCATCCTAAATTAATGTGTAATGCTATGGGTTTTTTTTTTTATTTATATTTTTGATATGATATTGATTAAGCATATTGGTGGAGAGTTACATGACAAAACTTATATAATTCATTTTCTCATTCCTGAAAATATTGTTGTTTCTTTAAATTTCCATTCTTCTTTCCTTTTGGTCTTGGATTTGACATAGGTTGTGTTGTAGATGCATGCTCTCTGTAGACATATCTGTTGCTCATCTCATCCTCCGGCCCAAAAACTTATAGTAAGATTTTGGCAGGAAATTGAATGGTGCAATGAAGTGAAATTGGTAACGAAATCTTGCCGCATCGGTACTGTCGTGATCGTGAAGCGGAGGTGATGATGATGCAGGGCGGAGGTGATGATGATGCAGGGCAGTTCTGATTGTTGGGAGCATTTGCGGAGGCGTTAGCGGCGGAGACGGAAATGGCGTTTGAGTCGGAACGCGAATATGTGGCTTTCTTCATTTTGGATCAACAAGGGGGAAGGCAAAACGCGAAGCCTTGAAAAGAATACTGATCAGGTAACACAATTTGTCAAGCAATCACATGTTCATTTGACCATGGATTATTCCGACCGATACGTGGATAAATCAAGTAAGTTGAGACCACGAAACTTCACTAGACGGAGCAACACGTTAACATGCCCAGAAGTTTAATATTAATTTCGCTTCCCGCCGAGGTAGCCAAATACTGTTAGTTACACTATTGGAATAAACGGTGTCGTATAATCTTTATGGACAAGAAGTTCCATGCATGAAGCTAAATGGTTAATGGTATGTTTGGCTTTGATATGTTTGTCCGGATGGAATGGTTATTTCTTAATCAAATTAATAAAGTAAATTAGATAAATATGAAAGCAAATAAGGAATGATTATTTTTAATTATTTTTATTAAGATGAATTAGAAAATAAAAAATAGCTAAAAGCAAAAGACATGTGTTAGTATTTAATTTAATCAACTAAGAAACAGTTATTTTATTTGTAAACGTGCTCTTAAACTCTAAATTAGAGGTTAAAAGTTTCAATATTAAAATAAGTGGTGAATGATTGGGAAAGCAAAGAGTTATTTACTTTAGTATAATTTTGTTATCTGTAAGAAAAATAAGCATACAATAGAGCAATTAGGTCAGGCGTGTATTTGTGAATTGTGATTATAATTTGAGAGTTAGGAGTGTGCTGGGAGGTTGGTTGCGGTTAGGGGATGTTTGCGTGGCATGAAAGAATTAATGAGTGCTGGATGAAAAAATGCTTCTTTTTTTTTTCCTATTATTTCAAACTTCAACTAACAAAGGACAAAATTCAAAACCCAACTAAGGACACAACAAAAGTCACACCGTCTCTAGTAGTTTATATATATATATATATATGGGAAACGATTGGTATATTTTTTGATTCAATATTCGGTTCAATATTTTTTGGTTTAATCATTAAAAATAAATATAAATACAGTTAATTCAGTCGGTTCTTATATTTTATGTATATGATTATATTATTATACTTGTCTGTTTTTAATTTCAAACTAAAAAATAATAATTTTTTAATAACTAAACTGAAAAATGTTGAACTAAATGTTAAATCAAAAAGTATTCCAATTACTGTCCTATATATATATGTGTGTGTGTGTAAGTGTGTATATTGGTCTTGTATTAAAAAATTGGAGACAATACATGTCACGTTACAACCTATAAGTTGAAGGCATAGTAAATACCACACCTTCTATAGGGGTGATCATATAAATGTGTAAGGCTATTTAATTTGCAAAATCATTATAATCTCCCATAAATGTTTTAATATAGCTTACACCTTTAAATGAACAGTTTCAATAATAAATCTTAATAATCTTCAAATAATAGACTTAAACTCTATTAACCAAAAACATAAAGTGTTTACCAAACTTATTTTATAAAACCAAATAATTTTTCAATTAAGTTATAACAAAACTTTTGCTAATTTATTTTAATGATCTCTCAATCTCTATGCAAATCCCAATACTCATACTTCATCACCTATAATGAGATGAAATTTGAAAATATGAGTTTAAGGACTCAATAAGTAGTATACTTGTCCTACACAACAAAGCATGAGATTTATAAATTTAATATTATTATAAAATAAATGATAAAATCACAATTCCTTTCTCAAAGCCAAAGTATTTCATTTCTCATCCTCTATGGCTATATAATGATCCATAATCTATGATACTTAATTATCAATTTACAATACACAATCCATAAATCTCAAGTCTATTACAATATCAATAATTCAACCCTCACAAGAGTAACCATACAATCAAGATAAAACAAAACCCATTGCAAATTAAATCATTTTAATGATAATGATAAAAAAAAATTTTAATTAACCACTTTCGCATGGCCACAATTTCATCTTTGAATTTAAATATAATAATACGTTTGGACCACAAGTCATCTCATTCCATGATAAAAGCATATTAATAAAATTATTTCTTTAAAAAAATTAAATTAAAATTGGACAAATGTATTTAGATAGAGCAATTTTGTTATATATATATATATATATAACACTAGAGAGCATCGCTACTTACCTTAAATAATTACCATCCAATAAGCAATCCCACACAATTACTCGAAGCCTAAGAAAATAACAAATAAACATAACTCAATCATTAAATAAAATTTAACTAACATTACTTAAGCATTACAGTAAATAATTCCAATCACTCATGCCACCCGTGTCCTACTTTTTCACTTAGTCTAGTGTCTGAATTCAACACAATTTCCTCCAACTAAGCGAGCACAAAAGTAAAACTTCTCACTATTAGAAATCATAACAAGTTTTGCCACTATACAAACCACCACAATTTGCCATTTACTAGAAAACAAAACCTACTGTACAAGTCCTTGTCTCATCTAGTGCTTATCATTATGATTTATTAAATTAGAAAACCAATTGTGTGGGCATTCCTTGAAACCTCATTAATGAAAACAACCAAATGTCAACCTATTAAGTTTTACCTCTCGGAAAACCACAATCTTTAATCAACTACTAAATATAATTAGTAATTCACATGATGCAACTTAAAATACTATATCTTCACCCCTCCTTTCGTTATGTCTCAACAATCTCAAAATTTTTCACCCAAATTCAATTCACATCTGACCATTTACTATTGCAACACAAACTAAACACAATGAAAAAATCTCATACTTTGTATAGACAATGTTCTTCCCTCCCTACAAAGTTTAAAATTAAGATTGTAATAGCACCACCCTCTCAATTTTTCCTTGAATTAGATCCAAAATTACCAAAATCCCCTTTAGGTTGCGTCCCTTTCACTACTGAGAGATTGTGATCCCTCTTTTGAAAAATAAATTATCAGTCTCCTTATTTAGTTTATTCTATATTTAGGTTAAACTAAAGGTTTCTTTCAACTAAATCCCTAAGCTCCTCATCTCATTATAGTTAAACCTCAAATTTAATTAATAGTATCACATATATGTTGTTGAAGGGTTTAAATAAATTATTTAAATCTTAAAAAATCCTCAGGTATTACAATATATATGTATATATACTTCCACTTATATTAGTTAGAAAATTTTGGTGATGGGATGAAAAATTAAACTCAAGGGATTATAATATATCTTT